ATTTTATTAATTTCTCCATGCAGAATAATAGAAAAATATTGATCTGAATTGATATCTAGATGGTTCTTTGGTTTATGGAAAATTTGAAAAAGATATGTTAACTTCAAATGGTGTACTTACTGTTTTTTATGATGATGGTGTACTTACTGTTTTTTCTAAATGTACTCCAATACTCTTATAAACCTAATTGATTTATTTTCATAATATATTTGGCTTACATCCTATATCTACTTACTTAAGTGTAGTCTTGATTTTATTTCCTAAATAACTTTGAAGCTTAACATTCATGTATGCATTATTTCAATGACCCATTGAATACTTACTACATCTCCATCATGGTGTTAGGGGACTGAATTTAAAACAGAATCAAGGTCTCTTCTCCAAATTTTAATGGGAAAACAGACAATGAGACAAGGATTACAGTAAAGCGTGATGATGCTATCTTCTTTTTCATCCTTATTGAGGTTTGTTTTTTCTGGTTGTTCAAATTCTCAATATCTCTCATTTCAACTATAGCCATATCTTTTTTCCCTAGTCTTTTGTAATGGTGTTTTTAAAAATTATGCTTCAAACTTCATGGAAATCTACTTACTAGATTATGACCATTGAATTTTCAGAATAGAACGGATCAGAGTAGAAAACATCAGAATACATCACAAAGAGCAAGCTTTGTTTTGTGAACTTCTTTTCCTATTTTATGTGTATGTGCATATGTATATATACTGGGCCATTATGAAAATGAATTTCTCACCATGGATCATAGTCAAAACTTTGAAAGATAGCCTAGCCTATACTTCATATTACAGCCAACAGTTATCTTTTGAATACTTACATAGAACTGTGCTCCCAAAACTCTGTCCCTGCATTACACCTGTGTCTTTACACATTTATATCTCTTCCCAGAATGACTGGTCCTCCACTTCTCCCCATGGCTAACTCCTTTTCTAATGTGAAGACTCATATCAGACACTTTCTCCTCTGCATAGCCTTTCATAAAACACTCAGATTTATTTAGAAATTCTCTATGTTGTATTTCTTTCGGTACATGTCCCTACCCCTTTGGAGAAATGGTCGCATCGTGTTGTAATTACTGATTTACCTTCTTGTCTTCTCCACTGCACCAGGAGTTCCTTGAGGGCAGGGCATTATAGTATTCATTTTGTACCACCTGTGCTGAGCCCTGTGTCTCGTTCTTAATAAATATCTTCCATGGATAAAGTCTCTTAAAGGCAAGAAGGTGAAATGGCCTTAACCTATAGTGTGAGAGTTAATCAGTGGCAGATTATTAAGCCATATCTTGTTCTCTGCACAATCCATGGATTTTCAGAGGAAGATAGCTCATTGATCTGTGAACGTGTCTATCTTGTTCATCTTCATGTGTTTAGGACCTTACACAGTGCCTGAGAAATAACAAACAGCCACTAATACATGTGAGTTGGTCAAATGGTAGATAGTGGTGATTATAGGTAAGGGTGTTTCTCTCCCTGTTCAGTGTGAGCAGGGTGTGCTTTCGATTTGAAGGACAGGCACAGAGAGAATTTGTAATCTCGGTAGGTTCCTGCCTCCTAGTAATCCTGACATTTTATATCATGTCTGAGGCCAGGGACACTTTCTCCATCATGCTTTTTCAGTTATCTCTTGGGCAATGGTCTCGATCATCACCCCCACCCAGGAGACAGGCACTTGGCTTGGACCATCTTATGCTGAAAGAAGAGGGCTGCACCTTGAGGATGGGCTGCACCTTGAGGACCTTCAGCACTTGTTTTCTTTCTCAGTTCCCCAGACCTCCCTAAGGTGTGAACCAATACACCTTCTCACTTCTGTCCAAGACTCACTGTGCCTCCAGGAGGGGAAGCTACTTCCTGTATGTCACCTGGTACTTGTAGACACTCAGAGAGTGTTGGGTGAATTGCACTGGGAGGAATCCAGGCTATCAAATGGCCCCACTCTTTTCCTAAATCAGAGACATTTAATGACAAAGTTACCCTTACAAGCTTTTATTACCTTCAATATACAAATGCCCTTAAGTTAGTGAGTTTACCTTGCATTTTCCAAAAGTAAGTTCTTCAAGTGGAAAGAGAATAAGGACCTTAGATTCTTAAAGGGTTGAGCTGAGGGGCCAACAGTGGCTGGGAAGAGCACAGGAAGGGGTTCTCCATGACCGTGGGACGGTGGAGACCTACTTAACAATTGTGACCAAGTTTTATCCTTATACTTTCTTTTACTTCCACCTCTCCCCTTCATCTAACAGCCACTTTAAGATTACACGTCTAGAAAAGAGAGGGGGCATGGGAGCAAACATTCACTCTCGTGTCCCACCCTGCCTGTGTCCTGACTAAGATGCGGAGGAGAACAGACGCCTGGAGATCTCATAAAGATCATCTACCTGTCCAACCACATCATCACTAAAGAGATATATTGAGTGCTTGCAAACCTGGCAGTTACTGGTCTGTGCACTGGGTATTATCAGCAGTGAATACAGCAGACAAAGCTTCACTCCTTTTGGGGTAAAAATTCTGCTTGTTTCCTCCTGACCTGCATTTTTGTACCATAATTTTATTGTTTTGAGACAACCAACCCCTGAGACATATTGTGATGCTGTGATAAGGGCTCTGAACATGGAGTCTGAATATACAGATGTAAATTCCTTTTCTCCATACCATTTGTTATGGGCCAGGTGTCATAACTCTTCACACTTCTGTTTCCTCTTCTGCAATAAGAGGTAGCAATGCCCCCCTTACAGGTTTGTTATGAGAACTAATGAAGCAAATATGTAAAGTAGCTGGCATAGCGTCTGGCACATCGTAGGCACATAATCCTAAGGTATTTCCCTTTGGTTTTCTCACTGTTGAATCACAATGCCTGACACAAGTTAGGAGCTTTGTAAATGGAAGTTCTCTGAGTGACTGCCCTGGTAGGAATTATACAGGAGAACTCTCTTCCCTTTGGATGGGCAGTTGGAGAAGAACCTCAGGCTTCTGGATTCCCATCTGCCTTCCCCGAATCAGTCCTAGTTTTCCTTCCCTGGCTCTCTGTAACAGAACACAGGATTCACTACTTTAAGATGCTGTTGTAGGTTGAGGTCTAAAATAACCTCAAGAAATGATTAGACGAACTTTGTGCTAAGAGATTGCTGAATGTCAAGTAAGAATATGGCTTTGGAGGTCAGAATTGGATACCATCCAGGCCTCGCACAAACAAGGCCTCACAAGCCATTATAGTCCCTTCAAGTGCTGACCTGGCATGACCTTCCATGGACCCCACATTCTGACTGGTAGGAGTGGTCATTACTCTGCCTTGGGGAAATCCTCCTGTACTCTCATTCTTAAGGGAAGCCTGGGACTAGAGGATCAAGATCAAAGATGCAAGTAAAACTTAATTCGTACTTTTTCCAGTTCTGAAAAAAGAAGAGTGAGGACTTTGTGGGAATAAAAACTAAAGATAAAAGAACATTTTGTTCTTAAGGTACTGGTTAGTAAGTTCTCCAACAGACAGCCAGAAGATAGGAGTAGCTTTGTTTGCTCTCTGTGGGGGTGGTTCTGGCCAGGGCTCCTGCTGCTGATATTTTTCTAGCTTATAAAAATAGTATTAACTTTGTTCCAGGTCTGTTCTTGGCTCAAGCACCCCAGCTGTCCTGAAAGGCAATAACAACCTGATTTCTTTCTCAGGCCCCTCTTCTTTCAGTTGTTTGTATCGATCAGACACACTCCTGATTATCGTCAAATCTTCAATCAGGTGGCATCTTCTCTGGGAGCGCTGACTGCCCCAAGCTGACTTAATTTAAGCACACCTTCCTCCTTGCTCTTGGACTTGCCTCCATTACTGTGCATATTGTCCAGTTTTGTCTGTGCAACTTTGTCTCATTTACTAGATTGTAAAATCTCTTAACAGAAAGCACTGTGTCATTTCATCCTATATCCCAGTGCTTTGTACATGAAGGACCCTTAATTCGTACATATTTAGTGAATGAATGAATGGAATTCCCTCCATGAGGGGATGATATTACAACTGAGAAATTTAGTAGCCTCTCATTACAGTAGAAATTGTCCCTATATATAGATATACCTGACTCAGTTCTCCATGAAGCAAAAGAGTATGGTTTGAGCACTCCCTGATCCACTCCTATTTGTCTAGAAGTCACTGTCCTTTTGTGCTTCCATCACATTAGCAGGTGTTGGCCAAGAGTAAACTTTGTACCTAGGTTTAGCATCATTCCTTGATTTCAGATACTAGATTCTTTGCCAGATGTTGAATTGGTTTAAAGTGTTCATCTGAGTTGCAGAGTCAAACCAAAATGAAGATTTCTAATTTATCCCTCTCACCCTCCCCTTGCTTCCTTCCTTTCTTCCTTCTTTCCTTCCTTCATTTTTTTTAATAGCAGCATTGGTTTAGCCAGTCTTACAAAAAGAGGTCTGGTCCATGCCCTCATAAAGCAAAACATAGTTTCTTCCAGTGAATAATAAAACATGCCAGTTTCTTGTTTTACCATGATCAGAGTTCTGCAGGCAACACTGATTCTCAAAGCAACTTAATCCATACTATTATTTTGTTCCTTTGGTCAGATGAGACTGTGAAGCTCACAAAGACGACCTGCCTCCCAGCATCATACAGTTAGTATGTGTAGATGCATAATTTAAATCCATGCCATCTGATGCCAGAGCTCCCACTTCTAATCACTGCGCTCTGTGGAATGGCTTGTCTGTTAAAATGTGACCCATTCTGCTCTTGGATTCTACCCT